AAGATGAAGGGATGATATCAAGAATAAAATTAAAGGGTGAGAGATGATTATACTGGAGAAGGAGAAAGGGAGAGATAGAATGGGGTAAATTATTTCACATAAAACAGACAAGAAAAGGCTTTTATAATGGAGGGAAAGTGGAGGAAGGTGAGAAGGAATGAGTTAATCTTATTCTCATGGGATTTGACTTCAGGAGGGAATACCATACACACTCAGTTGGGTATGGAAATCTATCTTACCCTACAGGAAAATAGGGAGGAAGGGGATTAAGAGAGCCAGGGGGATGATAAAGGGGAGGGCAGATTGGGGGAAGGGGTAATCAGAAGCAAACATTCCTGAGAAGGGAGAGGGTCAAAAGAGAGAATAGAATAAGTGGGAGGGGGAGGTTAGGATGAAGGGAAATATAATTTTCCACAATATGACTACTATGGAAGTGTTTTGCATGACTACACATGTATAACCTATATCGAGTTGCTTGCCTTAGTGAGGTGATGTTATAGAATTAGCCAATTTCTTTTCTCATTGAGCTTCATCAATATTTTGAGCAATAGTTCTGGAAGGATCTTTAGTATACGTATGAGGCACTCCATAGTTTAAACACTATGCTTCTTGACATTTTGTGTGAAGCTCTCTCTGACTACAAATATATGTGTGTAATATTTCAGTCTGTGAGTCAGCAGCATGAATTCCACATGTTTAGCATTTACTGAGTGCTTTTTGCAAAATGCCACAGTTCTGCCTGCAGATTGTATGTGAAGCCTCCTAGGAATGGCACATTATTCTGGCACTAATAGCACTGGAAAATATTTTGCAGCACTGACACCACATTAAGTATATAGGGTTAGGAGTTGAGGATATAGGATTAGAAATGAAGAATAGCAAACTCCTAGCACAGAGGAACTATCTTCTGTGTAAAATAAGGAGTAGGCAAGGATCTAGAGCTGAACCTTGAGATTAACACTCCATGTTTCAACTATATTATATATTCCTTGAGGGCAGTGATAATATCTTATGTTTTGTTTTTTATATCCTGGACAGTATGTAGAACAGCCTGAGGGGAACATGTGAGGCAGTTTGGAAGCTCTTGCTAATTGATTGGCTAAGTCTTATTTTCAGGTGCTAAAAGTCAACAAAGGTCAGCTTTACTCACTTTAGCCTGGCATATTTTTTTTTCATCTTTAAAATGGGAATAATATCTGTAGTACCTGCCTGCCTGGGTAGATGTGAAACTCAAATAAGATAATGAATATAAAACTCCTGGCAAACTTTGAAAGCACAGTAGAAATGTCTGTTGTATTTCTATGTGGCCTGTTAGCTCCCTGCTTGGAATGTAAGCTTCTTTCCAGTAGGGATTTTTTATTCATTGTATTTTCATTCCCAGCACCTAGCATAGGACCTGCCACATACTAGGTGCTTAATAAGTTATTGTTGGTTGCTTGCCTGCTTGGTTATTATTGTTATTATTATTAATGCTTTAGAAACACTCTGTATACAGACAGATCATCAACTCATTAGAGCAGAAGTCAAAAAGCAAGTTAGAACAAAGGAGAAACATAAGAAGGCACTGATTTTTTTTCCAATTTATTTTCTCTTTATTCTGAACTTTACAAACACCAAGTGAAATTAACATTTCCATATGTAATGTAGAAATAGGAGAAAATTGTACATGAAACTGAATCTCTGTCAGGTAGGAGAGAAAACACTGATTACAGTATGTGGTTAGTTTTGACAAACTGTCAACCCAGCCCAAAAGGAAATGGACAAAAGTAATGCCATTTACCTGGTTCCATCTTGGGGAAGTTTAACTAGGGCGAAACACTGACCTTGAACCCTGACCATCTTAGAAAACTTTAACTAAAGCAAAACAAAAACCATCACAAAAAGGAGGCTGAAAAAGCCCAGAAACTACCTTAGTCAGCAAATACTTTCCATTTCTTTCCAAGGAGACACTTATGGTGGCCGGGAACAATTCTAGTAAAAAATATAAGAACATTTGAAAAACATCACAGTGGATGATGAGAGACAACAAGCAGTTACAATCTCACAAAATAGTGAAAAGCTGTTGATTTGCAGATGTCCTTCAGGCAATATGGCCATAGATGCAGATAAGCCAGGTAATCCCCAGAGCACTTGTAGATGAGACCAGAAACAGGTTCAGGATGCAAGCTTTGGCTTTGCTGGTGACGGCTAATTTAGCAGTACAACGTCTCCTCAAGTCTGAGCTGTTTGTGCAAATGCCCCCACCATGGGCCAGCACTTCTGCAATCAGATGTTCATATGGGGCCCAAATATTGTGCTAGTTTCACAGAAGATATGGCACGAAGTCCAAACCAAAGAATGATGACTTATTAAAGGCAAGGTTCTTCAAATGCACGTATTTTTAGATGACATTATACTAATTGTATTAAGACTCAAGAGTACTTCAAAGCCTCCTCAGTGCTATCCATCAGACTGTACAAATATTGGTTGAACCATCCATACTAGAGAAACAAAATTAATTAAAAACACGTTTTTCCAGACTGTGATATGCAAGTAAATGGGCAGGTTGCCAAAGACACAGAATTTCACTCACTGGAGGTGACCTCAATGTCATCAAGTTCAACCTGTACCTGAGGAGGAGCTAATTCAAGTAGAAGTCATTACTTAACCAAGGCAGCCTGTTGAAAGAGCCCTAATTGTTAGGAACTTTATCAAATTTCTATCAAGCTGAAATCTTCTGCTACTTCAATGCACTGCTTCTAATTCTTCCCTTTCAAATGTGATATTGTATATAAAATGCTTTACAAACATATACATATCTACTATTATTATTTCATTTGGGGGCAAAAAACAATTTTAATTAATTTTCCATGTGGAAGCCCTTCAGACAATTAAAAACAGATGTCACGTCCCTTTCCCTGTTCTAAACATCTTCACTTTCTTCAACTGATGATTGTATGATTAGTCCCCTCATCTGCCTACTCACCCTTCTCTGACTATATTATAGGCTGTCAATATACTTCTTAAAACATGGAACCTAGAACTGAGCAGAAATGGTCTGACAAAGGCTGATATGACATGACAATACTATATCACCTTCCATGTTCTGTACAGCAGGATATCTCATCACCTTGTAGAATCACACTGAGCTTGCACTCCAACTAATCTCTCAGAATTGAAGTGTAGGGATTGGAAAATGGTAAGATACAACTATTTATCTTTTGTTTTTGTTCTATTTTATCTTGCAAGAATAATAATCTTTGGACTAGAGAGGACTGAAGAAAATAGTAAATAGGGAATTGAAATCTAAAATGAATGGGGAGATAGAGAGTATCTTGGTTCATATTCTGGCTCAGCTGCTTAGTACTTGCATGATTTATAAGTTAAGTCACTTAAATCTCTGGACCTTATCCTCATCAACAGGATTAAAGATTTGAACTAGATGACCTTTTAGGGCCCTTCTGGCTCTAACTCTGAGATCCTGTGAACCTTAGGTCAGTCAGCTAGCATTTATTAAGTGCTTACTATGTACCAGGCACTGTGCTATAGGAAGAAAACACCTGTAAATTCAAAGAGAGGAACTCCTTAGGTGGAAATTAATGAAATAAGGATCACATAATGTCAAAGAACCATGAAAGCTTCATAATGACTAGATTAACAACTCCCCTGCTGCCAGTGCCCCCTCATGGTCCCAACAAGATCACCTTACATCTATTTTGTATGCATTTAGTATTTCCTTATGTGTACTTCTTGTTTCTTGTATGCATTTAGTATTTCCTTATGTGTACTTCTTGTTTCTTGTATGCATTTAGTATTTCCTTATGTGTACTTCTTGTTTCATGTGATAAAATAGCTCTTTGAGGGTCAGATTTCCCACCTTCTTTCCTTGTGTCTTCAGTGTGCCTAACACAGAGGTGTATAAGTAATTAATTGATTGATCCCTTGCTCCTGGAAATTTATGTGAAAGGTCTTTGAAGTATAATGAAGGATCAGTTAAACTAAGGGGTTTCTCTAAAATGGAGATGCTGGCTCTGAAAATAAACACATAGTGAGAAAATAGCTTTCTTCTGCTTTCTTTCCTACCGTCAAGCTGATAGTGCTTTAAACTCTCTTTGCCTCAATTTCTACATCTCTTTACACAAATAATTTTATTTATTCTTTATTTTAAGTGCTTCCACTAAAGTCCTACTTTTAGCTTGTCAAGGTACGGAGGTGACTTTAGATTCTTAAAGACTGTCCCAGTGAAACATAAGCTTTTGGCAAGTCTTTCCGATCTGGAAAAAGTTAGTGGTATGGCCAAATGACAGATTGTCACCTATAGACCAGACTAGTTAAATTTGTAGGCTTACACTACAATTTGTTCACTACCAGGTGAAGAGTTGTTTTGGTTGGGGTTTTTTTGGACACAGATCATGAAGATCATCAACTAAGGCATGGGGGCTTTTGATTTCTGTATCAATGGAAGGAGATGAAATCATAGATCTTTTGAAGAAGTGAATCATCATTCAGGACAATACTTTTTCCAGTAAAGATTAGTGCTCTTATGGACTTAGAAAAAATTTTTTTAATGTTAGCATCATTTTTATCTTTGCAAATATAGTTTCCTATGGAAATTGTGAGTCCTAGTGGCGAGAGCTAGGTGGCTCAGTGGATAGAGTTCTGGACCTGGAGTTGGGAAGATCTGAATTCAACCATGGCCTTAGACACTGACTAGCTATGTGACCTGTCTGCTTCAGTCTCATCAACTGTAGAATAGAGATAATAGGGACTAAACATAAAAATAGGGATAATAGCACCTACCTCCCAAGGTTCTTGCAAAGACTAAATGAGATAATATTTATAAAATGCTTAGCATAGAGCCTGGCATGTAATAGGTACTTATTAAGTGCTTGTTTACTTATTTTCTAGTATATTGGTTTTTTCCCCAGAATTCTTTGTTTGTGAACCTCCCTCAAAACCAGATGGGACAATGATTTATTCTGTGAGACACTTCTCTTGACTAACTTGGTTTTCTTCCCAAGGTGATGACCTCACCATTTATGGGGTAGTGATGCAGCGATGGAACCCCTTCCATCAAGATGTTCGATGTGATGTGGAGATAGTCTTGAAAGCCAATTATGTCCAAGTGAATAACGAACAGTCCACAGGCAACATCATTGATGAGGAGGTTCGCAAGGAATTTGAGAATTTTTGGGAACATTACAAGAACGATCCCTTGGCAGGTTTGTGATTAAGTTTTCACTGATGTTTCGTTTGTTGTTTGGATATCATGAATACTTTTAGAACACATATACATTTTGTATAATTCAACAATTAGGTTAATACAGGGTCAGAATCAGTGTCTCTACATTTATTCTGTACTGTAAGCCTTTTTATCATCTATGTTGAAAGAACTTCTTGGGAAATTAAGATTGAGTTTCATGAAACTCTTAACTTCTTATAGCTGAAGAAAGTCTTTGGTCTTGTCATAAATTTCAGAAGGAATGCACGTGCAGCCTCTAAATACACTATCTCCTTAAAACAAATTTTGTTGTTTTTCTATAATATTATATTTCTCTAAAGTTATTTCTTTTTCTGGTACATAACTGGCTTATAAGACATTTTAGCTAGAGTTTTTGAATGAAAGAACATATGTATATGAGAGAGACAGAAGTGGATGGAAAGGGGAAAAAGGCAGATGTTAGTGAAGAAACTAGTGTAATTCAATGAAAAGGTTTCATCACACAACAAAAATCTTCTGTCTTAACATAAATTTTTCTATGATAAAATTTATACATGTTAAAATATCTCAGTAAGGCTTTAAAAAAACAATATCTTGTTTAAAATTTTAAAATAGGTACAACACCTTTTAACTCCCGAGATGTCAGATCTTCCCCTTTAATTCTTTCCTGGAGGCATCTTCTGGGGGAAAAGGAGCTAGTAAGAGAAATTTTTGATTAGCTATTAAGACATGCCCAACTTTAAATCTAATATGAATTTGTCCTTAAATCAAAATCAAAGCACATTCTAAGCACAAAAGTATTATTAGTGTTCACATGCACTATTTTGATCAGATATTCATCATCTCACTAAATACTAACTATAGGTGATCTTTTAAAAAGTCTGAGCAATTAATGCTGATATTTTTGTATGTATAGACAACTTACTCCTGATCATATCAATGGGGTATGTATAAATGGAACCATTTTTCTTGCATAATTGTAGTTTTCTAACAAACCCTAAAATTTAAAATATATATTTTATGTGTGTGTCTATAAATGTGTATATATAAACACACACTCATTATGGTCCCACTTATTATACTAATGAATTCTATACTTCATGGTCTTATGTAGGAAGCCCCTTTCATTTAAAGTTTTGGAAAGATTTTTTTTTTAATTTCAGAAAGTAAATTTCATTGATATTCTTCATAAACCACTTGAGCACTTGTTTGGAAGAGCTTCCATTTTAACTACCAAAGTCACTTCCTGCTCATTATAACTCTACTGCTCAGTTCTGCGTGTTGGCAAAGTAGGATAATAAAGTACAATCCTGTCATCGTACTTTCTGAAGTGCTCTGTATTGATGCTTCACAAAAGGAGATTATCAAAGCATTCTTCACTCACTGCAAACAAAGATTAAAGTAGTACAGCACTGACCAGATGACCCAGAAGGGGAAAAGTCCTTCCTCAGCAAAGCCAGTATCCTTGAGAAGGAAATAAAGAAAGTGTTAGTTGGTGATAATAATAATCATTGCTAACATTATAAAGTGCTTTAAGGTTTGCAAAGCCTTTTTTACAAATATCGTCTCATTTTATCCTCTTAACAACTGGGAGGTAGGTGCTATTATTAACCCCGTTTTCCAGATGGGGAAATTGAGGTAAGACAGATACACAGCAAACATAGTATAAACTGGTAGAGCCTTCTTAGTATACAAAACACAAAACAGCATTCTGGTATCATTAACTCAAGATAAGAGGGAGTAACCCTGAAAGGAACCATTTTAAATAAAAAATAAGCTCATTATGTTGGCTAAAAAAGCCTGAAAATATTGTAAATTGCCCCTGTGCCTCACTCTTTCACTGTCTCCCATTGGCTGGCTCAATTTCAGTTTAGTTTTGGCTCCAAAGGTCTTGACTAATTTGAACCTAGGACCTTTAGGTTTTGTACTAATATTTGAAGGTTAGTACAAGTCTCTTTGATACTGCCTTACTCATTGCCAAGGGTCTTGAGTCCTCAAGGCCACCCTATACTCATTCTGGAATGACACAAACCAAACAGACCCTATAAGCAACTAACTCCTGGGAGTGCTCCAGTCTAGATTGGGGTTTCAATCAGAGGTATATTAGACTTTGATGGCTGTTCCAGACCAGAGTGGAATTAACATTATTTATATTCTAAATGCAAGTTTAACAATAATAGCTGACTTTTATAAGGACTTAAGGTTTTTCCAGACATCTCACATACATCTCATGTGGTTCTCTCCGTGCCAAATCTACACAACTGAAGTTGAGTTGAACCAGTTTCTAGAGGCAGTTCTGGGTGGAATAGTGTTTACTCTACTGCGTTTCCTCCTATGACTAAACTACTTCAGAAACCCTTGAATATAAAGTACTCTTTATTTGGTCACTGGTCATTTTCATTGCCACCAAACCAAGACATAAGGACTTTCTTTTTTGGAGCACAGACTTTCGTCTTTACCTATTCCTGGTAACACTTCCATATGAGTCTGGAAAATATCACATGTTGAGTCAGCCATTTAGAGAGCAAAAATGCTGTAATATAGTGTGAGGAAATCTTGGGGTATAGAATATTTATACAAGTAGTTAATACATATTCTTAGCTTGTTCATTGAATCCATTTTGACTCAACAATACAGGCATCTAGTTATCAACAGTTCCTTCCTGGTTCCCCCCTATGCCATCTTGCACCTTCCTAACCCTATGTCTTGAATATCCTTAAGCCTTTGTTAGCAGGCTTCAGTTATAACTCCTTTATTTCCAGATTAATTTGTCCTTTCCAGGAACTTGAGATAGGAGTCCTTTTTTATGCAATCTAACACCTCTTTAAAAAATTTTATATCCTTTTGCATTATATTACCATCATTTTTAAAATACCCCATACCTCTTGGGGCAGCTAGGTGGCTCAGTTGGATAGAGCTCTGGCCTTGGAGTCAGAAAGACCTGAGTTCAAATCCAGTCTCAGACACATGACACTTACTAGCTGTGTGACCCTGGGCAAGTCACTTAACCTGCATTGCCTCACCAAAAAAAAAAAAGGCAAAAAAGAAAATCCATACCTTTTGCCTACCCATCATGCCATCTCTTATAACAAAGAATTTGAAAAAAAAAAGACAATTCAGCAAAACCAGTCAACACATCAATTGTGTCTGACAGCATACACAAGATTCCACATCCATAGTCTTCCACCTTTGCAAAGAAAAGAATGAGGTAATTTTTTTTAAACTCTTCTCCAGGGCTAAGTTTGGTCATTCACTATAATCATATTGTGTTTCATGTAATTTTTTTGTTCTATTTACATTATAGTTATTACATATATTTTTCCTTGTTCTGCTTATTTCACCCATCATCAGTTCATATAAATTTCTTCATGCTTCTCTGAAGTCTTCATATGTATCGTTTATTTATGTCACAATTATATTATTATTACATTGTATTCAAACCACCTGACCTCTGTTTATTCATTTGTCAAACAACAATAATAATGACCAACATTTATGTGGCACTCTAAGGTTTGCAAAATGCTTTTCAAGAATTATCTCATTTTATCCTCACAACCACCCTGGGAGGTATGTACTCTTATTATCATCCCTATTTTGCAGATGAGGAAGCAGACTTTGCACAAGTGCAGATTAAAGGACTTGCCCAGATCACACAGCTAGCTAGCAACTGGTTGAGGCAGAATTTGAATTCACATGTCATGACTCCAGATCTGGCATTTTATGCTGTACTGCCTCACTTCTTTTAAAATGTGGAGGCTGCACTGGATGACCTCTGAGCTTCTTTCCAGCTTGTGAAATCATGTATCTGTACTTACATAGATCTGAGTTTATAATCACGCACCAAAACTTGTTTGAACATTCCTCGCAAAAGGTCTTGTGGGATACTGGATAGGGTGGTGTATTTGGAGTTATAATACCAGGGTTCAAATCCTGGTTCTGTCATTTTCTTCTGAGTGGTTTCCTAAAGACCTTGGACAAATCACCATACTCCTGGGTTTAGACCTCTCATCTGTAAAATGAAGAGATTGGAGCAGGTGGTCTTTCAGGTCTGTTCCATATCTAAATCTATTCTGCTATGAATGTGTTACTGCTTTAGCAAACCTCTCTTCTTTATCTCGCTTCTTCCCTTTCTCTTTCCTTCCCTCTCTTATTGGATACCCTGCACTCCAGTCCTCCCTTCTCTCTCATTAATTCTTCTCTGGACTTTCACGCCCTCTGCAGCATCTCCAACCTATATCAAATCATTACTTTCACATCCCCTTTTTTCCCCTAAAGTTTTCTTTTCTTAACATGTCTGGTGCCCAACATCACATACACTGTGGCTTAGTCATCTCTTAGTCAACCTGGATCATTATAAAAACTAGTTTTCTAAAGCCCACCTGTACATTTGATGATTTTTTGGCCTCTCAAGAAGGGAATTAAAACACAAATACACAAACTGAGGAGGGAAATGATTGTACATACTTTTATTTCCTAAGGTTACAGATGACACTTGAAATTCCAATTGGGAGTAGCTGGCTTATTTTCCTACACTACGGAAGTGGCAAAACCATAGGCCAAGTGCAACACTTTTGCACCAAATATAGGCATACCCTACTAAAACTCTCTGACCAGTATTGTTAATACATGTTAGCCAAACCTTCCACTCTAAAATCGGGTCAGGTTATCTCACCAATCCCAGCTAAGTCCTCTGCCTAGTCAGAGTCTTTGTTCTTCTCTGAGACTGCTAAGTATCACAGAGACCTGTGATGTGGTTTCTCCTCTCTCCCTAAGCTGTTAAATATCACAGAGCTGTTCAGGGTTTGGGAATATCTTGGTATAGACTTGTGATTTCATTGGTGGGGGGGTTTCCCGATTGTCTGCATATTTTTAGAAGATTCTCTGAGACCCTTGGTGACTTGTAAGCATGATTACACAGTCAGTATGTGGGAGAGACAAGACTTAAACCTGAACTTGTTTTATTCCAAATCCAGGTCTCTAGTCAATACATAAACCACACTGCCTCTGAGACGTTAAGTGCTTTGTACCAATGGTTCCTTTATAAGGGCCATACCCTTACCTGGAGCTGTCTCACTCACAAACACAAAGGGATTTCTGTAACACAAAGGAAAAAAAAAGCAAGAAAATTTGCCAGGTTTCTTGAACTGCCAGCCCGGCTTCTGCATGTTCAGAGTTACATCCAGTGGGCCGCCCCATTAATGGCTCCTGAAGATGCACAGGGACTAAGGTGAGCTTGGCTCCCACTCTCATCATTCAGTCTCCCTGTCTCACTTGTTGTGGCAGAACTTCGCACTTTTCTGATCGCTCAGATTCTCTGAGGATATGGATTATAATTTCCCCAGCTGTGTGCAGTTGATTTTTTTAATCTTTTAAGATAAAGTGTCTAAAATTATTTCCTCCTAGATCTTGAATTGGAGGTTGGGGATTTCCAAGGATGAGAGGAGCCCTATTTCTCCCCTGTGTATGATGTGACTTCAGTCTTTACTTCAATCTTGTCTATCCATCTAGTCTTTTCCTCTACTCTACCCTTCTCAGTTCTACTGATTGCCAGCTCCAAACCTCAGGAGACTCTGTGGTGCTTAGGCTCTTAGGTCTACCCCACACTTTGGGTCTAAACATCTCTGCCCCATTTTATTGTTGACTTAAGTCTCTGTAAAAATTTGTTTTGCCTTCCTAGAACCCCATCTTCCTTTTTGAACATTGCTAAAGTTGACCAGACTACCACCTGCAATCTTCTAAAGTTTTTTCAGAGCTAGTCAGTGACATTAAGCGGAATGTTCCTGTAGCAGCAGATGCTTATCACTCCCTGAAAATTGCTATAGCCACTAATATACAAAAAGAGGATGTCTTTAATATTACAATTGTAAATATAATGAATAGTCAGTTTTAAAAGGATCACTAAAAGTTTCTTAATACAACCTCAGGTTCTCTAAAAACCTCCTTGGAGTAAGCAGACAACACAATAACCAGTCTTCATTTCATACCCTAATTCATTCAAGACTTTAATAATAGTGATAGCACTTATATAGATAGCACTTTAAGTTTTGCATAGCACTTTACACATATTACCTCCATTTTATCCTCACAGCAACCTTAGGAGGTGGGTGTTATTATTATCATCCTCATTTGATAGATGAGGAAGTGACCTGCACGGAGTCATGGGGCTAGTAAATGTTATGAGACTGAATTTGAACTCAGGTCTCCCTGATTCCAGGTCCAGTGCTTTGTGTACTCTGCCATAAAACAAACTGGCAGATTAAGTACTTTGACATTATTTATGTAAAGTTTGGAATACAAGAGACTCACCTGGGTTTTGAAATATATACTCTTTATTTACTCTCATATCAACCCAGTGCTAAATTTGGGTCTTTTTCAAGATAAATCAGAACTTAGTATAGAGTTTCTCAAAACTTGTGTCTGTATTGACCAGAAGGGTTAATTTATTGTTAACTCTGTTCCCTAAGTTCTGAAGGCCACAAATACAGCATTGCTCAGAGAGACTCTGGCTTCTACCGCTAGTTGTATCATTTGTGAGAATTTTAATGAACTTCCTCTTATGTAAGCCATAGGGTTTCTCACTCTGAACTAGCCTTGATAGAAGACGGTTAAAAAGCAATAGAGTGAGACAGAAGCTATTTTTAAAGTCTATAAATAAAGGAGAGAGAAAAAGGCACCTTACTATTTATCTCCTGTTTGATGAGTTTATTAAAAACTCAATGCACAGTGCAGATGGCACCAGAAAAAACATTTTATTTCATGAAGTTAGGAGATGGGGAACTTGGGAGTTGAAACTTTAACAAAGTGATTCTGCTTCCTTTTCTATCTCCTTAATTGCTTATTAACTATAACAGAATGGTCCTTAAATGGCACCATTACACCTTGGCATAGGGTTGGCCTTCAAGTCAGGAAAAGTCCTATCTCTGACATACCAACTATGTGACCATGAACATGCCCCACAGCTTCTCAGGGCACCAATCTACACTCAAAGTTTATGAAATTACAGTTAAGTTGCCAGACTGCATCGGTGGAGTTTTCGCATCAGTAGTTCCCCAGACCAATAAAATCACAGGTTCAAACCAAAAAGAACAAGAGAAAAAGGCCCTTGAAGCAGTCTAAAGATGGTCAAATGGTCATAACGCTGCTCAATTTTTATTTTTACCCCATCACCTAGGAAGGAATGAAATCCTGGCTAGCTTGTGTCCTCAAGTTTTTGGGATGTATTTGGTAAAGCTTGCTGTAGCCATGGTGCTTGCCGGCGGTGTCCAAAGGAGTGACGCTACTGGAACGAGGGTCCGAGGTTAGTTCCTGTTCTTTTGTTCCAAGGAACACATAATGATACGGAGGCCACAACTCTTTGTTTTCCTGAATGAAAAGCCCTTTGATGAAGACTGGGGTTCTTTCTAACCGTGTTTTTAAACCAGTAACTGTGTCTAAATGCAATATTGCTGACGTCACATAGTTGTGTTTCTGGTAATACTTCAAAGTTCACCAAAACCCCACTAATGAAATTCCAGAAAGGCTCAGATATAAAGAACTTTCTCAGTGGGGATGTTTCTGTCCCCAAGATTAAACCATTAACATTCCCATTAGTCTGTTTGGGTAGAGCCTGTACTTGGGTTCTAGGCCTTTCTTCATGAGAGCAAGAAAGGAAATAATGCTCTTTAATGTCACACAACCAGCTCACTCTCCATCTGTGACTGTTAGCACAAGTCCCATAGACCTGCTGCTCCAAATTTTTTGCCTGCTGATTCCCCTTCTGCCAGTGGATGGTAAATGAACCATCTGCAGTGAGACATTACTGTAGGTCAGATTCAAGCAAAGATTATTATAAGGGCATGTTATAGCTTTGCCAGTGTCACTGTATTCTAGCTTTAACAGCTCTCTCTGCACCTGTATTGAGTATGATGGGTGTATCTTTAACTCCATACAAGGTGACTTAACTAGTGGACTGAAAGAATCTCATTTTAAATCAGTGTTATTGGTGTATCTCCTAGAACAACACTGAATTAGAGGAAGAGGCAGTGTGGTACAGTAGACCAAGTATTGGATTTGAAGCCTTAAGATCTTGCTTTGAATCCTGGCTGGGCCCCTGACTACCTATATGACCTTGGGCAAGTTGCTTAACCTCTCTGGGTCTCAGTTTCCTTACCTATAAAATTAAGGGTTGGGCTAGATGAACTCTAAGATCTCTAACAGGTATGAATTCTGCAACTTCCATATAGAGTTCTATATGTATTAAGATAAATTTTAGAAATGCTTTTGAATTCTGACAGTGCTAAAGTCAGATTGGATTAAGTGTTGCATCAATGAAGTGCCCTTTTAGACACTCAAATGATTATTTTATTTACATTTTAAAATAACATTTTGAAATATTTCCTATTTTATGATTATATATATGCATATATAAGAATGTTTCTGTTCCTGCTACTTAATTGTTAAAATGTGAAAACAGTGATTAGGTATTCAAGATGAAGAAGACAAAGTTAGTAGATGGGTATTTAAAAATAAACTGTCAAAAGTCACATGTAGGCCTAAATACCTGGAAAACAATGGAACAGAACTTTTTGGTACAGTTTTTGAATATCATATTCAATCATTAAATATAAAATGATAGCATCATAATGTCTATTTTGAGAGATAAAATTTGACGTTTTAAAGTTTCATGCCAGAATTGAATGCTGTTCTGTCATTATACGCTAGTCAAAGGCAGCTTAGCAGAATGAATAGAGAGCTGGCTTTACAGTCTGAAAGACCTGGGTTCAAGTTCTCTTTTACATACACATTGGAGCTGTGTGACCATAAACAAGTCACTTAACCTTTTATTGCCCCCAGGAAACTTTATTTCTTTAAGTCACCCATAAGCTGAAGATCTGCATGGATAGAGGGAGTTTTCTTTCTAGATGTTCTCTATTCCATAGATCCAGAACCTACCCTCCTTCACCCCCAATTATTTGTTAGTCTTCAGAATTCACTTAATCTAAAAAAGAGTTTTAGTCAATTTAAAGTATCCTGTGTTGTCTTTCATAGCCATGTGAAGCTTTACACATTTACTTTTTCCTAGGTGAATCTCATCTTTTACTGGTTGGAGACCCTGGTACGGGGAAATCTCAGTTTCTCAAATATGCAGCAAAGATTACTCCAAGAGCTGTGCTCACCACAGGAATTGGATCTACCAGTGCAGGTATTTGATGTAACAGTGTTGAATAATATGACAGTACCAGAGCTTCCTGGCTGTGTCTATAGGCTAGAAAGAAAAAGCAGTAGAGGAAGTCAGCATATATAAGCAGGTATGTGAAATAAATGCATATTTTTGCAAGACTAGGAAATTTGGGTACATTTTTATTTTAACAAACAGAGACTTCATAGTTTCTTTTGTGTTGGCAGCAAGAAAATGGCTGACAGTCCTGACCTAGAAATGAGGGAAATATTCAGAATGAACAAGCAGAACTAATCTTTTAAATATCTTCTTACTGTCATCATTCCCTCAGGTAACTCACATTGCAACTCCTGTGTCTTGGTTGATGACCTTAATGAGTTTTTTAGCCAAAAAAAATTAATCACCTGGTGATGAGCCTTTCTGTACGTGAAAGCTGGATTGTTCCTCAGATGGCAGATGTACAAATGCATAGGCCCATATTCAAGGCCTTTCCACCAAGACCTTCAAGAACTCAGGGCCATGCCACGACGAAGCATCAGAGTAGGACTTTAGTGGCAGATTCTTTTAGCTATCCTTTGAAAATGTTAAAAGAATCTACCTATTTTAAATTATTTCTGCATGAAAAACATACTTATCCTTCAGTGTTGTTCTTGTATCTCATTTTAATGATGACCTTTAAAGATACATTTATGAGACAAAATACACTTCTACAGGCATTATTCATTCTAACTAAACCTGAAGTACAGAATTTTAAAATGACTAATGAAGCAGAGCTCTGGTTATGTCACTTCACTGGTGCAGGGACTTCAAAGTCCAAATTCCTTACTCTGGTCTCTGTGCCCTGGCCCCAACCAACCCTTCTTATCTTCTGTTACCTCTTTAAATGCATCCCTACCCGTCACCAACCTGGATTATTTGCTCTACCCCATGTTTTTCGAATGCTGTTCAGTTTACATGAATGGCTTTCTTCCTTCTTTCTTGAAACTGTTCATCTTTCAGTGGCTCAAATGCCATTTCCTTCTTGAAGCCTTCCCTGATCTCTCCTGAATCATTGTGCTCTCTCATTCCCTTGATTTGTTTGTAACTCTCATGGCGTTTTTCATATTCAGCCTTATGTTGTAGTACTTGTTTAACTTGTCTGATGTGGCCCTTCTCCATTAACTATAAGCTCTTTGAACACAGGGCTATCGTCATCATCTCAGTGTCCCCAAAGTGCAAGTAAACACTTGTTGCATGAACACATGAAGCAGGAAACTGAATTGTTTTTCCATAATCAGATCCTTAAGGAATTTTCAGGCTACAGCCTATCACAGAATAAGAGGGCAGAACCGACTGATATAAACGTATCCAGGCTCTATCAGACATCATAAAGATCCAGATGTACCATGCGAGGAAACAAAGCTTTGGAAAATTAGTTTTAAGAGACTTCTGGCATGAGAGAAATTTCAAGTACAAAAGGGGGCATGATTCTGAGAGGTGGCTTGATGGTCAAAGAAGAATTCAAGATGTCAGAAAGAGTTAGAAAGGAAAAGCAGGTACAGCTATATTAGCATAATACTGCATCGTAGTAATCATCTTAACCCCGTTCTCACCAAAGATTTTCAGATCTGTCTGCTAGGGGAATTTTTCTGTGATGATACATACACCTCCTGATTCCAGAATGGAGTTAGTAGCAAAATAGATTTGGCTTGTATAGCCAACTTTGCTGGAAGGCATTCACAGATTTATGTATATACATATACTTTTACTTCTTTGTTTTAGGAAATGAAATTGCCTTTTAATTAAAAATTAGAAACCACCTTTCCATAGAAGGAAAGCAGCAGTAGTTTTAACTACCACAGTGTAAAGTGCACATTTTAGCTTCATATTCATAATGATTCTTCAGCAAAATACATTAAGAACTTGGTAAGAGAATGTGTTAAGATTACTCATTCTGCTTTTATATTTCTTTTATGTAGGAAATTAAGCATTGACAGAAATTTGATAGTGCAGGTCTTTTGCTGTTGCTCTAAATTTCTGCTACGGTTTTAGTTAGAGAAATTTGGTCTTCAGTCCCTCCCACCTAAAATATCTTGCATAACACAACTATCATTTGTTACCTCCAACATGAGCCTGGATTTCAGTGGTATGGAATAGATTTCTTTTAGGAACTGAGGCAGAAAATGTTTCAGATCTGACTACTAATTTTAAATTCTAAGTAGAACCAAAGTTAAGAAACATAAGAGAACACAAATTTTTTTTTCCACATGTGAATATTGAAGTAGATAGGGATTTCTGAATTGAAAAGGGTTAGAAATACGATTTTTGGATGAGAAACAGGCAGTTTCTAATAGTGGCTTCCTGTATTCTTTTCTAAGTCTTCATATCTCACTGGCTTATAGTTTTCTGTAGTGGATACAGTACTAGACTGGAAGTCAGCAAGGCCTGATTTTGAACCTTGTGCTCCCAGCACTTACTAGTAAGCTTTGTGACCATGGGCGTATCATATTACCTCTCTAAGCCTCAGTTTTCTCATCTTTAAAATGGACTTGTACATATCCTCCTAGGGTTGCTGTGAGGCTCAACTGAGATAACGTAAGAAAGATGCTTTGAAAATCAAAGCGCTGTTATTAAACGTCAGCTGTCCTCATTCTCAGTAAAATTATATTAACAGCAAGGTATCAAAGAGAGAGAGACTGTAAGAGCCAGAATGGTGCTTCTCTTCTAGCTGCCCAAAGAAAAACAATTATTGTATGGGGCATTAATAATTTCAGAAAGAGGCTATGGGTGTAAGATGGATATGGAGACTTCCCTATAGCTATGAACAGCTGCTGATTCACTGTACCAGCATTTTTTCTCTTCCAAGTTTTGTGCCAGTATCATATTTGAAACATGTGAGAGAGAAGATGGTGTAAGGAATAAAAAATACACAGTAAAGAATATAGAAAAATTCTTCCTTCCTATTTGAAGGACCACCCTGTTCTCTTTTTATTCCTCTTGATCTTCATAGGCTGAGAATTCCTTAAGCCCACCTGACTCCCCCCACCCCCATCCTAAAACCAAACAGTTAAGTCACTTTGTGAGTAGAATCCCAAGATCTACATATGGATTACCCATGCTTTCTGCTCACTTGTTTGGTGTTTTATCAGCTCAAATGGTTGTCCTCATTCTCTCCCACCCCCTCACCCATCTGTTCAATTGCATAAGTAAACTGCTCTGCCTTGTTTTCTCAGCACATGATTATTTGAACTAATGGAGTAAAAAAAAATCTTAAGTCTTTAAAAATAATAATCTAGTGTTCAACTTCTTAGATGTGGTTCAGTACAGTTTAGGACAGCTTGTGTAAATACAAATGTGAGTACAAAGGGAAAAAAAATTACTTGACACAAATTTTTTTTTATACCTAAGGTCTAAAAATTGCCTTTTTATAATCGCAAAGTCTTGACACCTAGAAATTATTTGCATCACTTATAACTTAATGATCTGAAATCAGTTTTTCAAACTGTAGAATTTAGACTTTAATAATTTTTTTTAAGCTTTTGGCTGTATGCTGCTTTCAGACAATATGAGCCATTTACAAATTTTGATAAATGTAAACACTGTTGAATCTTAATTACAAACTGATAACTCTTAAATTGCTGATCAAAGTCAGTAATAATTATTTTATATTTTGCCTCATAACTATTTCTAACAAGTATATATGACTGATTTTCATATTACTGTTAGAGTAACCAGGAAAAAGTATGCCAAGTGTATGCTTAAGGACATTGCAGTTTTAATAGCTTTAGAGATCAGTTATTAGAAGATATCATTCTAGATTCCAACATAGAAAGTTCTTTTTTGTTTGCTGATTGATCATTCCCTACAAAAATGCTGATTCATTTCTATGTGGATATTCCTAGGACTGGCCCTGGGATTTCACTGGTCTAGGAAGCTGCAAACAAGGTGCTCCCCTCTACAACACAACTTGACACCTTCCCTTCAACTTTTAGTCTTACTAGAGTTGCCTAGACCCCTGTGGCCTAGACTGTAGAGAAGTGAAGTGACTTGCCCAGGGTTGTACAGCTAGCACTGTGTCAGCAGCAAGACTTGAACTCAGGTCTTCCTGGGCTTTTCACTCCTCTGTGCAGCCTCTAGCCCGCACTGACTCTGTATGTAATCCTGGGCAGGTGCTCTTCTGGGTTGCGAGTAGGAAACATTTAAGAAGCCCTGCTCTAGGCACCTCCCTAAGATTGTAAGTTATAGAGAAGCTGTTGTTAACATATTTTGGTAGAAGGAGTTTCCTCATCAGGCAGTTTCTCATACCAATGAAATCTGTTCTTTATCCCTAGTTATTTAGATAATTAAAAATCAGAATTAGAGAGTAGAAGTTTCTGAAGTATACTGGACATTAATAATAATATTAATGTTTATATAAGTACTTTGAGGTTTACATAAGTACTTTGAGGTTTACAAAGTGCTTTATATCATTTGAAAATTCATACAGCTTTTAAAATGAGTCATTTATAAATGAATATTTAATAAAATGGGATATCACATTTCAAAAGCATAGCATGATATAGGGAAAAGAGCACTGAATGTGAAGTCAAAAGATGTGGATTCTTGTTCGGACTCTTCTGCTGACTGGCTATGCAGACCTGGAACCCTTCTTTTTTACCTTCTGGGGCCTATGTGTCTTTTCTTCAAATGAAGGAGAAGGAGGGAGAGTCTAGGGTCTTAGCTCTAAAAACTATGATTCTGTAACATTCTGCAAAATTATCCAGTTAAGAAGTTTTCTTTATTTTTAAAGTGAAAAGTATTAGAAAAACATAGTACTCATATTTAGATTTCCTCTTCCTCAGAACAGCTTTAAAAATATAATTGTGGTATGAAGTTTTATATGTGAAGGCACTTGTATGGCTGCAAAGCTAGGAGAGTCTTCTGTGGGATCTATAAAACGGGCACTGCTGACTTTAATGGGAAGATCATCTATAGGACCCATGCAAGAAGAACAATCATGATTTTAAGTTAATTATCTATTTGAAGATTTTTTTTAATTCCCATAAAAAATTTAGGGAATATCTCAATTCTAAATATATCTAAACTCCTCATTTTTTGTATCTAGTATGGAAATGGGGAAAAGTCCATTATGTCTGAAAGTTACACAGAACAGCAACTAATTATCTATAAAGTCATAGACCCCTTGTTGAGTTCATAATTTTTATATTCGTGTTGTCAGAAATGTATTGTTATGCATTATTAAAAAACATTAAACAGTTACAGATACCTAATGGAAGAATTGGGAGCTGACCCAGCCTCATGTCCATTAAAATAAGAGGGGCTTTGGTTTCTTTTCTTTTTAATATGTTTAATCTATCATAATGATTTGAGGCAGGAAAGATTGTTTAGGAAGTTGGCCTATTTTTAAATATATATGTTTATGTTTATATAGATATTTTAAATAAGTTTGTAAACAATTAAACTCTATTGGCATGTTCTGCTCTTTCTCCCTACACTAAATTATTTGCTCAATGCTGAGCAATAAAAGGACCGTGTACATGATGAGGGAAGTCACGTACTAAAATCCTTTGTAGAGATTTGACTTCAAATTGCCTGTGTTAAGGAATAAACACGTGCTCTAAAAGAAATGGAAATTTGCTCCTGAAATTATACCTCACTATATATATGGCTTCACAGAAGCACACATTTTAGGATAATACAGAGATTTTTTTGTTTTCATTTCAATTTGGTTGAAGTGTTCCAACCTCTTATTAGTGGCTGGTGAAACTGTAGTCTGCTTTATTTATCTTATCCAAGAGATCATGTGATAATTTTTTTTTATCCTGGTCTAAGGATTCTTATTTTTCATTGTTGGTGCTTAGACTAGTATTACAGAGGAGAAGAAGAAAATATAATATATATGCTTTAATCAGATTAGTTTTAGAGCAAATAAAATAACACATTAGAGAAAAAAGAATTACTTAAAAATAGTTGTATTTATATTCCACAATTTGATCAAATACTGGTTCTTATAAACTTTCTACAGGATGTTTTTAAAACAAATTCTTCACATTTTGTCTTGACTATGTACTTACGGAATTTCAGAGAAATAGTTCTGTTTGTTTTTTATAGCTTAACATGTACTAAAGGGATGGCAGGTAGTCACATGCAGTCCATATGGGATTCTAACATGACATTTAATGAATTTTCTGATGTTGACCATCCCTTTGATGCTGAAGGCAATGCATCTGTTGAAAGAAGTGACTGTAGGTTTGGGTTACTACTCTCTGCATCTTCCAGTTTTTCAGTATTGTCTTCCCAGTTAATGTGGAATCTTGTAACCCTGGGATTAGATGCCAAAATATTCCTTTGAAGCTAGAAGTGAGGAAGGAAAAAGTACATTTAGATGGTAAGAGTTAAATCACTTAGTACAATGTGGTATGCAATTAAGCTCTTAATAATCAGATTGGGAGAGTAGTGGTTCATTGGCCTTGGAATCAGGAAGACCCAAGTTCAAATTCTGCCTCTGACACTTACTAGCTGTGCCAGCCCTGGGCAAATCGCTCAAACTCTGTCCGAGCTTCCTCATCTGTAAAATGGGGATGATGATAATAACTACCCTCATAGGACTATTGTGGGGATCAAATGAGATAACAATATAGGTAAAACCTCACAAAAGGTTTATACTATGTGTGTGTAAACTTTAAAGCCCTAAATAAGTGTTAGTAGTTATTATTATTATAAATGTCTTGGTGTTTGTTCACCAGGGGGTCTTCAGGGTAAGCTTTAAGATACTGTAAATCAAGTTCAGTGGATTACAAAGGTATGGCGCCATGGCAAAGAAATGAAGGTAGTAAATGGCTAGAAAGGGTAACTTTTTCTAATGAACTCAGCAATAACGAGTGAATAGAAAGAGCAATGAATGGGGAACCGGGAGAAGTGACTTTAAAATTTTTAATTTCTAAATGTTTGTTTCCTTTAAGAAAAAAAAAAGGAAAGAGCACTGGGTGTTTGAGACGATTAAGTTTAGGTCATTTTGTTTTATCTGTTCCATAGATGAAATGGCTTATTGAGAGGTACTATAGAAACTTCAAAGAAAAATTTTTTAAACTTAGTTTAACACTATGACCATCTGGTAATAATAAAGATACACTGCAGATTAAGGGAAGACTTGTCTTGTTTTTCAAATGCTTCATCGAATCCCAAAGTAATGTACTAATACTTTTTAGAAATAGGATTAAATAAGCTTAATTAAGCATAGCCACCTTTTTCTACTGTCAATCTGTCAACAAGAATTCATTAAGAATTCATTCACTTACTATGTGTGAGGTTAAGAGTGGTTTCACCACTCATTCATCCTCTAAAAGGTCCTTCACAATACTTCACTACCAAGCTTTCTTATACAATAGTGTTATCATGTTGAAACTATTTCCTTTCTTTCTAAATTCAGAATTTAGCAGCAGGCAATAATAAAGCTAGCTATGGTCTATGCCCTATCTGTTTAAAATGCTTAAAATTCGTGTAGTAGAGTTATAAAGGGCAGATCAATTTTCAAAATGATCTTCTGAGTTTGGAATTTCATGCTGTTAATTATAGAAAATATGTACATTAGAACAAGAATTACGATATCAACAACTTCCATGTTGTTCTACCATCTGCCTCTGTTCATTAGTGGTTTCTCAGCCATTTAAATAGGAGGACTCATTCTTAGGGAAAAAAAAACCATTTTTTTTGTCTTTTGTGAAAGGAAAGGAATGTTATTATACAAATCTTAAGCTACAGGCCAGGTTTGGGGGCTATTGGTGGTGTGAACCTGCAATTTCATCAGTTGAGGGAACTCCTGGTGTGGAAACTTCCTCCACTGAAGTTGCCAGTTGGCAACTCCTTTGCAATTTGGAGTCTGAAAGAGTTGCCTGGGACAGAGGTGAAATGACTGCCCATGTGTCAGAGACAAAACTTGAACCCTAGTCTTCTTAAGTCTAAGGCAGGCACTTTATCCACATTACTGCATGCCGCCTTTTGTGAATAACATATAACTAATTAAATCAAATTTCATTAAATCCCACCCATCTCCACACAATGCTGCTTATCTTCTGGCTGTCATCTTTGTTTCCACCCCCAACTGCCAAAAACTAGGCCATCTGATAGGTGGGCTTTCTTCATCTTACCTTGATGGGAACCAGGCCTAAATTAAATTATTTCATTAAATCCTAGCCATCTCCTCTTGATGGTATTTCTCATCTCCCTCCAGATTCCAACCCTTGTTCCCTCTGTTCTGGTCTTAGCTTACTCAGAACCAAGCCTCCATTGCCCCTTCCCCACCATCTCTACAACACCTAACATAAATATAAGTATGCCACCATCCACCTGCTTTCCAGCTACTCTTCAAGTACTGTCTTCTCTCATTAGAATATAACCTCCTTGAGGGTTGGGACTGTCATACTTGCCTGTATTTATGTCTCAGGTGCTTGGCATAGTGCCTGGCCCATAGTAAATGTTTAATCTATCCAATATAAATAACTGTACTAATGTGACCAAAAAAAAAATACTACCTTATTCACCCATATGAACGAATTCCACAGGAATATGGACTGATTTGACAGATTTGCTCTTATATTCAACCTTACTTTGTTTTCACTCACTGAAAATATTACCAGTTAAACTGAATACAGTTTATTTCATAGTATTCCATCAGAGGAAATTAAGGAAAGCACAGGAAACCATGAGTTTTAACTCCCCCTCTGCCATTAACTATTTGTGTGACATTAGGCAAGTTACTTAAACTTACTAGGCCTCAGTTTCCTCATTCTTAAAACGAGGACAGTCGGGCTAGCTAAATCTAGGTAGCCAACTTTTTGAAAAGCTGTCTGAATTTACACATCTCTCATTTATACAATCATTTTGGCTTTTCATAGAGAGGGGATAATTACCTAAGCAATACAATAAAGAAAAACAAAAATTAAGAATCATTAATAGTTAGGATTGATTAAAGCAGAAGCTCTTTGAAAAAGAAGCAAAAGACATTAAACAAATTTAATCAGACTCAAGACCCAACATTCCTCATCTTGGTCCTTGGTTCCTCATATTCTTTTACCTATTCCAAAAGGTCTATGTACATACATACAAAACTAAGAAGAATCCTTAGTTCTTTACAAAAAAAAACTGAACAGTCATCCTTCACACAGGAAGACTTGATTAAATTTTGGATTCAAGGTCTTTGCTCTATCTTCCTTTTATACTTGGTTTTAACTATGAACTGTAGTAACAATATTGTCTGTTGGTGATATGTGATTGCATTGTTTTTAACTTATTCTTTTTTATGATTTATTTAGGTTTGACATTTTATTAAATGCACTGTTTACTCAAGTTATATATGAGCAAAAGCTTCAATAATTAAGATTTTTTACCATGATTCTAAAAGAATGAGGTTCTAACACACAATTTCAAGTTCTGACAAGCAAACTAGGTTAACTACCATGTTACTTATGAGATAGAATTCTTTTCAAACATAGAAGTGGCTTTAGAACAGAGATCTGCTTAATGCTTTCTCTGTTTGTCCCCAGCAATAGTCACAAAGCTCTGGGCCAGCAGCAGAAATGAGCCAGGTTGGAAGAGCCAGAAAAGACTAAGTAGAGATGAAGAAAGGGTGGAATCAAAGTCATTTCATTCCCATCTCTATTTCTGGCATCAAAAAATGAAGGTCTCTGGTATTGGGAAGTACTTATCTGAAAGTGTGGGTACATCTTCCACCTCTTTCCATTCCACATGATTGTATTGGTGTCCTTTCAAAGAGTCCTTCAGAGGCTTTCCTTTTATATAGCACTAAGCTGTCATTGGATGACAAAATCATAGACTTATGTCCCTTTATGTTACAGATGAGGAAACTGAGGCCCAGGAAGGTATATGATATGCCCAAATCACACAAGTAATAATCATCAGATGTGTGATTTGAACCCAAGTCCTCTGACACCAGAGGTAGTATTCTTCACACCACACCATACTATGGTCCACCTACTATTTCTCATTTTCGCTGGTAAAATGTTGCAGCTTATATATGGATATCATAATTTTATCAGTTGCCCTTTGGGTCACAAAAAAAATGTGATTTTTCTAAGACCAAGGTGTTGCGTGATTGCTAGTCCTTAGAACTGGAAATGCCATTAGAGACCATTTGGTCGAGCCCCTTCATTGAAAGATGAGAATGCTGGGGCTTGGAAATTCACATGCCCAAGGTACCATAGATACTAAGTGGAAGAGTTGGGATTTGATTCAGGTCTCTGAATCCAAATCCAGTGCTCATTATAGCAACAAAACTGTTAAGAGCTGGACTATTGTAGCAGCGAGTGCCTAAAATGTCATGCAACTTCCAAAAAATTGAAAGAAGTTTACAGAGGAGTTGAACTAAATATTCTGTGAGGTCTCATGCTCTGGAATATTGAATCATGGCTTGTAGGTAAATTTTTCTTCCATGATTCCTACTGACCTTCATCCCTGGATGAAATAAGAAACCAAATTACATTATTTAGTGTGTGTAAAAACAGAGAATTAAGCAAAACAGGAACATCACTGGGAGAAAAAAGTAGCTGGTTAAGTGTGGTTACACACTGTTCAGAATTTGATTGCTCATCCAGAGAAGAGCTTGCACACACATACAAGGCTGAGGAAGGTGGTGATTAGGGCCACAGAACCTCTGAAACAGAAATCAGTATCTCTGGGTTCTTTATTATGAAGAACATTAATCAAATATCCCCTGGATACATGGCACTATCAAATCAGTTTTAACTAACAACTTCCATCTGTTTCAGATGGGTATTATTACTAGTGGCCAACAATGCTTTGCATATAGGGAAAGATTATTAAAACCTTTGAAATGAAAAAGCTGGGTAGGTAAATGCCCTCCTAAAGGCCACAGGTCTAATTTAGTTAACTGAGCCAAGAGAGGTGTAGTCCCCTTTGTTTTAGAATCTCAAAAGCATATTACAAACATTAATTACCAAACCTTCACAAGGAAAAACAATAATTACACTCATCATGAATTATGCAGACAGTTAAGACTTCAATTGTGCACTTCAACTAGCATCAAAACTTCAGAATCTGACTCATAACTATTTCTTACTTAGTAAAAA